TTTTTTTTTTTTTTTTTTAATGTAGCTGGTACTGGAGATAAAAATAAATAAATAAGTAAACCTGTTGCTATCAAGTCGATTCTGACTCGTAGCTATAACCTAGGGTCCTTTAGGCCAGTCCATCTGCAATGGGTTTTGTTTTTTTTTTTTTTTTTGATATTAATGTAGCTAGTCTAGCATTCTTTTTACTGTTGTTTGCATGATATATCTTTTTCCAGCCTTTTATTTTTAACCTGTTTGTGTCTTTATATTTAGAGTACATTTCTTATTGGCAACATGTAGTTGGATCTTGACTTTTTGTCCAGTATGACAATGTCTGCCTTTAACTGGGGTATTTAGACCATTTACCTTTAATGTGATTACTGATAGAGTTAGGTTAGAGCATATCATCTTGCTGTTTGTTTGCTGTTTGTCTCATCTGTTGTTTGTTCCGTTTTTCCTTCTTCTTCTGCCTTATTCTGAATTGTGTATTTTTTTGATTCTTTGATCTCCTTTGTTGACATATTACTGTAACTCTTTGCCTTGTTATTTTATTTGTTGTCCTAGGGTTTATAAATATCTCTAATTATCACAGTCTACCTTCAAGTGATACACCACATTACATGTAGTACAAGGATCTTAACAGTAGTATACTTCCGTTTCTCCTGTCTTTCTGCTTTTGTTGTCATGCATTTTACTTTTACCTATGTAATAAACGCCAAAATACATTGTTATTATTTTAGTTTAAACCGTCAATTATCATTTAAAGATATCCCCATAGTATTGGTTCCTCCTGCCTGAAGGACATTCTTTAACATTTCTTGTAGTTGCGGGTCTACTGTTGATGCATTCTTTCAGCTTTTGTATGTCTGAAAACATCTTTATTGCATTTTTGTTTTTGAAAGAGATTTTTGCCAGATACAGAATTCTAGGTTGACAGTCTTTTTCTTTTTTTCAGGACTTTAAATATGTTGCTGTACAATCTTCTTGCTTGTATTGTTTCTTACAAGAAATCTGACGTCATCCTTACTTTTGTCTTCTGTAACATGTATTTGTTCTCTGGCTGCTTTAAACTTTTCTGTGTATCACAGTTTTGAGCCATTTGGTTATGGGGCGCCTTGATGTGATTTTCTCCATGTTTTTTGTACTTGGGTTTTGTTGAACTTCCTAGGTCTGTGAGTTTATTGTTTTCATTAAATTTCTAAAGCTTTCAGCCATTTCTTCATTTTTCTGTCCCTCACTTTGCTCCTTCATGGAGTCCAATAACCTGTATGTTAGGCTGCTCGAAGTTGTTCCACAGGTCACTGAAGCTCTTTTTATTTTTATTTTGGATTCCTTTGTCTGTACTTCATTTTGGATAGTTTCTTTTGGTATGCTTTCAAATTTACTTCTACAACACCTAATTTGCTAGTAATCCCATCTAGTGTATTTTTCATCACAGACATTGTAATTTCCATCTCTATAAGTTCAATTTCAGTCTTTTTAATATCTTTCCTGTCTATTCTTAACTTTTTGAACATATAGAATATAATTATAATCTTTTCTAACGTTCTCTGCTAATTCTAACTACGATGTCGGTTCTGCATTGGTTTTGATTGATTGTTTATGTTCCTCATCATAGCTGTGTTTTCCTCGCTCTTAGCATGGGCAGTCTTTGATTTGATGCCAAACATTGGGAATTTTACCTTGTTGGTTGCTGGATATTTTTGTATTTCTTTCAGATCTTCTTGGGCTTTGATTTTGGGGTGTAATTAACTTGCTTAGAAACAGATCCTTTGGGGCCTTGCATTTACAATTTATTAGGCAGATCCAGAGCAGTTCTTAGTCTAGGACTAATTATTATTCCCCACTACCGAGGCAAGATTTTCCCCGAATATCTACTTACTGCCCCGTGAATTCTGAGTTTTTCGTGTCTGGATGGTAACAGGCACTGTGCCCAGCACTGTGTGAGCACCAGGCACTGCACCCTCTTATACTTTTGGATGGTTCTTTCACTGTCCTCAGATTATTTCCTCACATGCATGCACTGATGAGTACTGCTGATACTCAGAGGAGACCCTGTAGATCTCTGGGCTTCTCCCTCTGTGTGTGGCGCTCTCTTCTCTGGTAGTCTGTCCTATGAACTCTAGTTGCCTTTGTCTCCGCGGACTTGCAGGGATCCCGCCACGCTTCACCTCGGTTCTCTCTCGCGCCGTGCCCGACTGGAAACTTGGAAGGCCGTAAGCTTGGGCAGTTAACGGGGCCCATCTGGTTTGTCTGCCGTCTTTCAGCAGTCACTGTTTTCATGGCCTGATGTCCAGTGTCCTGAAAACCATTATTTCCTTTAAGCCTGGGGGACAAATCTGGTTCCTGTTACTTCATTTTAGCCAAAAGCAGAAGCCCTCTCTACTTACAGTTTTAACCTGAGAAGGCTCTTGCACTAACATTTTTTCAGAAAACCTCCTTTAGTAGTAACCATTGGTCGTTCCCTTTGAGAGCCTGTGTACATAGATGAGTGACAGGATAAACCCAAATCAGCTAGCAGAAAGTTTGGAGGGTATTCTTGGGGTGAGTTATTGATTTGTTGACTCCCTTGTGTCTGGAAATGTCTTATTCGAATCTAGAAGCTCATTCTGATATCTATGTATATGTGTGTGTATGTATGTATATATATATAAACCCGTTGCCATTGAGTTGGTTCTGACTCATAGCGACCCTATAGGACAGAGTAGAATTGCCCCATTGGGTTTCCAAGGAGCAGCTGGTGGATTGAAACTGTTAACCTTTTGATTATCAGCTGAGCTCTTAACCACTACGCCACCAGGGTTCCATATACATAAATTTCACACTGTAGTGTTATTGTGTGCCGTTGAGTCAATTCTGACTCATAGCAACCCTATAGGACAGAGTAGACTGCCGCATAGGGTTTCCTAGGCTGTAATCTTTACCGAGGAACGCTGGTGGTGCAGTGGTTAGAGCTTGGCTGCTAACCAAGAGGTCAGCTGATGGAGTCCACCAGCTGCTCCTTGGAAACCCTATGGGGCAGTTCTACTCTGTCCTCTAGGGTCACTAGGAGTCGGAATCGACTCGACAGCAACGTGTTCGGTTTTCTTTTGGCTTAGAAACTCATTCTAAGTAAGGATTTTATGAAATTCCTAATTGTGTTATGATTTTATTTTCAGAATTAAGAAAAAAAAAGAGCAGGAACGTTATGCTGAAGAGCAGAGGATCCTAAGAATGACCTGTCATGAAGAACCATATTCAGGGGAAACTATGAGTGAGATATTAGCCCAGCTACAACTGGAAGAAATAAAAGGAGAAAGAGAAAAACAGAAACAGAGAGAAAAAGAATATCTAAGGTGCTTTGAAAAGTTCTGGTTGAAGTTCTGGCTCTAGAGGAGACTTGGTGGGAAATCAGAATTCTCTCCCAACTTCCGTAGGAGAGTTGACTGTCTTCTCGCACCTTTCTTCGGTGAGGAGTACAGAACTTCACCAGATTTCTGGATTGCCTAATACCCCCTAGGGAATGTTGTTGTTGTTGTTAGACTCCATTGAGTTGGTTCCGACTCATAGTGACCCTGTAGGACAGAGTGGAACTGCCCCATACGGTTTCCAATGAGAGGCTGGTGGATTTGAACTGCCGAACTTTTGGTTAGCAGCTGTATCTCTTAACCATTGCGCCACCAGGGCTCCATCCCTAGGGAATAGTACTGCATTTTTCCTAGTGCTTTTTCCCAATACAAAGAGGAAGAATAGATATTGACAGTTAAAGCTGGTAGTAAAATCAGAACTATTCATTCAGTGAACTTATGCTCACTCTCTTCCTAGTAGCTAACTTTGCCTGATAATACTATCTTTTTGTAGATATGTAGAAGCTTTAAGAGTCCAGATCCAGGATAAAATGCAGCTGTATAATATTACTTTACCTCCACTATGCTGTTGTGGTCCGGATTTTTGGGATGCTCATCCTGATACCTGTGCCAACAATTGTATTTTCTACAAAAACCCCAGAGGTAAGTTTTTGGAAAGAATAGTTGAGGCCTGATGGCAATTTAAAAAATAATAAAAGTAGAAGTAGCAGCAGTAGTAACTTAGCATTTATTGAGTGCATACTATATATAAGAAACTCTTATAACCTCTTTATAGAAGAACTCTGAGACATTAAAAATAATTACACTGAGTAATCTTTCTCTTTGAGATTTGTTACCTTTTCTGCATTTATGCTGGGAAAATATTTCAAGTTCACTCTACTCTAGGGGGACTTGGGTTCCAGGTGCTCCTTTAACTAAAGAATATTAGAGCTTGCCTCTTAAGTCTAAGTTAGGGCTTTTTCAGTTGAATTCCCTGTTATCCAAATACTTTAATATTATCTAACACAGACTTATTATCATGTACGTCTACATTTGTAAAACTGGTGTAGTGGAGGCTTGTCATCTAACTGTTTGTCCAACTTTACAAGGGGGGATGGAGAATCAAGATCAATAGCCCAAGGCTGATTCCCTTGAGGCAGAAGTCAGGCATACCTCCTTTCTCCAACTTCTGTACCAATTCTGACACCAGCCGCCCCTCCCATAGCACTCTTCTCTGTTGGGTTTGATAATTCGATTATGGGGTTTATTAGGGAAGTAACAGGTTAGAATTCAGGATCAGGAATGACTCAGGACACAGTTCTTTGGTCAGGACAGCTTCTTGGCCGTGCCTACAGGCAGGCCTTTCCCTGGCCCTTGGCCTCTTGGGCCTCTTGAGCCAGCCTGGCCTCTGCCCTGCTTGGGCAAGTGTCACAAAGCTCTTTAGCTCCACCGATGAGTGCCCAGAGACATTCCGCTCTGCCAGTAAGCAGCGGCCCAAAGGCGCTTAGCTGTCTAGCTCTGTGCATTGACAAGCCTAGCTCCATCAACAGGTGTCCAGAGGCATCCCACTCAGCCAGCAAGCCTCCTGCCTGAAGGCACTCACTTTTCTTGCTCTGTGTGTCAGGAAGTCCATCACTCTGTCTCCTGCTGGTCTCCTGGTTCTGCTGCCTCTGCTGCCAGTGTTTCTCTGCTGCTGCTTCTGTCTCTCACCGTCTCCGGTGTTACAGCTCTCTCTGTTTGTCTCCTGGGTCTAGGAGGTTCTCAGCACAGGGATCCTCGGTCCAAAGGATGCGCTCCACTCCTAGCTCTCTTGGTGGTAGTGAGGTCCCCCTCATTTTGAGTGTAAACACACCCATGAAAGCGTGTAAGCCCAGCCACTTCATGCCCTTATCTCCCCCCCATCTTAGACAGCCAATGTTTAAATTTCCCGTCCTATCCAACCAGTACTCTGTGGAGACAAACATGTTCCTTGATCTGAAAAATCTCCTGTTCCAGTTGGAACTTTGAGCATGTACATCCATAAGCAAAGTCCAGTCCAGAGCAAGTCCTCAAATTGCAGCAGTTTACACCAGCTCACGGTGTCAAACATCTGTCTCTCTCTTCATTTGTCAGGTTCTGGTCAGCTCATCCCTAGCCTGTGTGGGCTAGGCCAGTGGCTACCAGCCATAGGCTCAGGAGTCCATACAACTCCGTGCACTTCAGACCAGCCAGCCCTTCCTCCCTTTCCCTTGTCCCTAGCCCCCACGGGCTAGGTCAACAGATGCCAGTGGAACATGTCCAAACTCAGCCCATCTCTTCATTGCCACACTTCTCCCACTTCCACTCATCAAGTGGACCCAGCTGGTCACCACAAGTGAGCATACCAGGCTATCTACTCGCAGGCTCCCTTTAACTCCCAGTCCTAGAAGATGGTTCTTCTGATGGGCACTAACTTTTCCTGCCTCAGTGCACTCAAAGGCAAACCACTTCCTGGAAATTCAAAAAGTGAAACAGTCATTTTTTTATCTGCAGGTCCTTCCTTCAAATGCAAATCTCCTGTTCTGTCAGCAGTTCTGGGTAGATCTGCATGTCTTTTCAGATGCACATTTCCTGTTTCTGGGTGGGGTTCAGGCTTTGTACCTAAGCCCTAAGCCGCCAAATCTCTACACAGGGCTGCAGCATTGAAATGAATCCTAGTTCCCCTTTTGGCATATCCAATCAAGTATTGGCTGAAGACAGAGTTACACGCTGTCTGTAATTTATAGTACCCAATATTCACTTCCAGCATACATTTAGGTCTGTTGTACAACACTAGGTAGGAGAAACATTCAGTATCTGTAGTACATTCAGTTAAATACATAACCCTTTTTAGAGCATTCCAGTTTCATCTTCTCTTCTCCACACCTGGACTCGCTTCCCATTCATACACATACGGCCTTAGCCTCTGGCTGGGTGGAACCAGAAGACCCTGGCCCCCTAGCAGTCATCTTGTTTAACTGGCCTGCCTTTTCCCCCAGGCCACTCCAGGTGCAGCTTTTCTCCACTCTGCTGCAACGTACCATCTCTTACTTTCCTTTCAGCCATGACAGACAGCAGCAACCACAATTACCATCCAAGAATCTGAAGTTTCCCTTCCCACAGTCCTTCATTCTTTCTCTTACAACGTCTCCATTCTTCTGTGAGTCTGGAGCCATTGCAGTGTGTCCCACTTCTGACATCATCTGTGAAAATGGCATGGTGAGGGCATCATTCTCTGACCTCGTCATCTAACTTCACGAGGGGGAAGAAGCAAGATCAACAGCCCAAAGCTGATTCCTATGAGGTGGAGGTCTAGACATACCTGCTCGCTCCAACCTTTATGAATTCTGATACCAGCCATCCCTCCCATAGCACTCTCTCCTTCTCTGCTGGGTTTAATGATTCATTGCAATGGCCACACAGAACTCACAGACAATACTGACGATTATGGGGTTTATTAGGGAAATAACAGGTTACAGTTCAGGATCAGGAACGACTCAGCATACAGTTCTTCAGTTAGAACAGCTTCTCGGCCCTCTTTAATCTCAGGCCTCTTGAGCCAGCCTGGCCTCTGCCCTGCATGGGCAAGTGTTACAAAGCTTTTTAGCCCCACTGATAAGTGCCCAGAGGCGCCCCACTCTGCCAGCAAGCCTCTTGCCTGAAGGCATTCAGCTTTCTTGCTCCTAGGGCCGGGAAACATTAGACTGCCAATTCTGCCAGAGGAAAGTGGGGAACAGTATAAGCTCCATCTTTATCAGGAGTCCCAGCAGGAGACAGTGGAGTAGTCCCTCTTGTCACTAATGTCTCTGTTTCCACTGTCCCTTTAAATCTCTTGATTTACATAGTCTGTAGAGATTCTGTAGGCCTCATGTCCACACAGAAAATATTGCCAGTGTTGGTATTTCTGGTGCCCCATCTGTGTGATATGAGTTACTTGTCAGTCCTGCGAGTTATATTTTTAAAAACATAAATCTGATCATGCCATTCCCCTCTTCTAAAACCTCTAGGGTTTCCCATTACTTAAAATACAAAATGTTTTTAAGGGCATATTTTTTATGTGGCCCCGGGCCACACTCCAGACTTACCACACTTGCTGTTCCCAGAATATATCACATTCTTTTACACATTGTGTGCGTCACACACTCATTTCTCTGCCTCGAATGCCCTTCTTCCTTTACTCCTTTTCAAGACCCATCTGAAATGTTACCATTACCAGAAATCTGTTTCATTCTCTCTTGGATTGTTGCTCATTCATTCCCAACTTCATTCTGTGATGACATTTTGTATATGCCTCTGGTTTGAAAGCATTAACACTACAGTTTAATTATTTTTGTGTCTGTCTTCTCCATGATTTTTTCTGTCTCCGCAGAGTGCTTAGCATGTAGTAAGTACTCAGTAAATATTTATTTAATGGATAGTCAGTTAGTACCTGTGGGATTCTGGGTAGAGAAGCAGTATAAAGGCGGAAGAGGCTGGGAGAATTATTTAGAAAGTTGACTTTATTCATCACTGTGCAAACCTTTATTTGCAGCATACACTCGGGCACTACATTCAGTGATCAGTTCCTGTGATATTCCTGAGGGAAACTCAGCTCTTCGAATCGCCATCCGTAATTTTGCTTCTTTACACAGACGGACTTTGAAGAATCTGTAATAAGAATCTGAAATCAACTAGTGGTGTTTCAATCTCCACTTAAAACCAACCCTGAGCGATTATAGGACAAGCTGTTAAAGTGTCTAAGATGTGTAATTCTGGAAAGAAGGACGACCCCTCATGACAGCTGTCTCTGTAATTAGTCCTAGCCATTATTTCAGTCTCTACCTTGGGACCAAGATTGAATGTTGACTTCCAAACTGATCTCTTCTTTGTCGTCAACCACATGGAGCCTATTGTTTTAAAAAATGATCAGACCAGAAAGGTTTCTCTTACTTTGCTCTGCTCTGATCCAGAGGAGATCATGAGAACTCTTTGAGATAATCTCATTTATCATCCTTGTAAAGCCATATCTTTGATCTTGATAAAATGTGAAGTGTCTAGATGAAGCAGAAAAGAAGGTGTTGAAACCGTTTTAATGAGTATCGTTGGCCATCTATTACTGTTAGCTTTTCTAATTGTGTATAATAATTGGAGATAAGAAAAATCTAAATTTGATACACATTTTCTCCTCAAAATTTTCTCTCCTCTATTTTAATTCATTGCCTCTTTCCCCATTCAGTGACATTGCACACAGAGCTGTTTAATATAAATTTTATAATTTTTCTTCCAAAAAAATAAAAAAGATGAATAAACCCTCTTGTCTTTTGAGCATCTTCTGTGTGAAATAATTGTGACATTTCAAAAAATGAATCTGAAGGCAAAGTGAGTAAAGTCCTGCCTTGTTACTCCATCTTTAAAATAATCTGGTGAATGATATGCCTGTGGAGCATATGAAATAAAAATCGTTCTATTTGCTATGAATTTGATATGTCTTCACAGTATTTCCTGACATAAAATATGGAAAGGTGTACTGTGATAAAGACAGATACTAACAATTGCTTTCTTCTGCTTTTCTTAATGTTTAATGGTGAAGAAACAGTTACATCTCCAAAAATGTCAGTGGAAATAAGAATCAAAATTACTTGTGTGACAAGATTGACTGGTTATTTACCAGATTAATTATCCCATTGAGTCAAAATTCTTGAAGTAATTATATACCTGATTCAGCCTTTAAGATTTATATTGTTTTTTTAAACAAAGTTACTGAGATATAATTAGCGTACCATTCAATTTACTCATTTAAAGTGTACAATTCAGTGGTTTTTAGTGTATGCACAGTGTTATGCAGCCGTCACCACAATGAATTTTAGAATATTTTCATCACCCCACAAGGAAACCTATGTCCATTAGCAGTTGCTCCCCGTTTCCCACCACTCCCACCTCTATGCTCTAGGGAAGCACTGATCTACTTTCTGTCTCTATAGAGTTGCCTGTTCTGAACTTTCCATGTAAATGTAATCATACAATATGTGGCCTTTGTGACTGGCTTCTTTCATTTAGCGTAATGGTTTCAAGTTTCATCCATGTTGTAGCGTGTATCAGTACTACGTTCTTTTTATTGCCAAATACTATTTCATTGTATGGATATACCACATTTTATTTATCCAGTCATCAATTGATGGATATTTGGATTGTTTCCATTTCTTGGCTATTATGGATAATGCTGCTGTGAACATTTGTGTACAAGCCTTTCTGTGGATATATGTTTTATTTTTCTTGGGTATATATCTAGGAGTGGAATTGCTGGGTCATGTGGGTCTTCTTTGGAGAACTGCCTATTCAGACCCTTTGCTCCTGTTTTAATTGGGTTATTTGTCTTTTTTTAATTGAGTTATGAGTTCTTAATATATTCTGTTTACAGGTCTGTAAAATGGTGGGAGTGACAGTAGTCTCAGAACTTGTCACCTTTGGTGGGGATAATGTGAATCGACATCAGCCTAAGGCTGATATCCATAAGGTGGAGGTCAGACATACCACCACTCTCCAACCTTTTTACCAATTCTGACACCAGCAGTCCCTCCCACAGCATTCTCTATTTCTCTTCTGGGTTCGATAATCCATTGCAATGGCCACACAGAACTCACAGACCATACTTAGAGTTAAGTGGATTATTAAGGAACAGGGTACAACTTGGGATCAGGATCAACAGGCTACACAACTCAGGATCAAAATCAGGAAGCATGTAGGCAGAATCTCCCTTCTTCAGTGCAGGACATCTCTCTCAGCTCCTCTCAACTGTGCAGGCCTGCTTTCCGCCCCTTGAAGGCAGGCCTCCTGTAGGCGCCCTCCGGAGAGGCTCCTCTTGGCCCTGCTGTCTTTCGCTGCCAACACCACCACTTGGGCCCTTATGGGCCTGTTGTCGCTGACTCTGCCGCTGGCCCCCTTCCAGGCCTGTGGCTGTCTTCAGTGTTTCGGCCCTTGACCCATGTTATAGCTCTTTTAGGAGGTTCCTTGCCTCTTCTTGCTCTGCTTCTTCTTTCTTCCTTCTGCTGCTTCCTGTCTTCCTGCTTCTTTCTATCTGAAAAACCTCTGAGAGGTTGGCTGCTTATATACACAACTCCTTGTCAATTTTAAGGCATGACTCCTCCCAGTGGGGGGCCACAAACTCACCAATCCCCTCTCAGTAGGCCACAGACACTTTGTTCGCATTGTAGGCTACAACTCACCTCATTTGCGTAGTCTGTTGACCAGTCCCTGCAAGGTGCATACTGATCACAGGGCAGGCTGCAGCCCGGGGCCAGATAAAAAGTATCAAACCACAAGTTGTTTACAGCTTGCCCAGGAAGCGTTAACCAACCTGGACAAAAGTAACAGACCCTCTCGGGTAGAAAGCTACGGCAAAGGTAACTCCACAGGGCTTAGGGGAAAAATCTCTAGATGTTTTTCCAAAGAAGGCAAAAGGCCACATAGAGGAACTCGTTTCACCACAGGGCGCCTCGTCAGGTACATACAGTGAGACCTGTGAGAGCCGGAGCTTGGCACGTTCTCCTCCTTTGGCAGGGTGCAGTCTCACCTCTTCTGTCGTTTGTTCTAGTGGAAAGTATTTGCGTTTTTCTTCTCTGACAGGTTTCCGCCTTACACAGGTTCCAGCTTTCACAGGTTTTACTGTAATTTGCAAATATTTTCTCCCGTTCTAAGGGGTGTCTTTTCACTTTCTTAATGGTTTCCTTTATAGCACAAACATTTTTAATTTTGATGAAGTCTAATCTATTTATTCTTTTGTTGCTTGTGCTTTTGGTGTCATACCTAAGAGACCATTGCCTGATCCAAGGTCACAAAGATTTACATCTATGTTCTATTTTTATAAATGTTACGGTTTTAGCTCTTATATAAGGTCTGTGATCCATTTGGAGTTAATTTTGCCTGTGGTGTTACTTAGGGACCCAATTTCATCCCTTTCCATGTGGATATCCGGTTGCCCCGGCACCATTTATTAAAAAGACTATTTTCCCCATTGAATTGTCTTAGTACTCTTGTTGAAAATCAGTTGACAGCTAACATCATACTCAGTGGTGAAAGACTGACTGAAAGCTTCCCCCATAAGATCAGGAGCAAGACAGGGATGCTTCCTTTCACCACTGCTATTCAGCATTGTACTGGAAGTTCTAGCCAGAGCAGCGGGGCAAGAAAAAGAAAACGCATCCAAATCAGAAAAGAAGAAGGAAAACTATATTTGCTATATGTAGTTGACGTGACGCTATATATACACAAAGAATCCACAAGAAAGCTGCTATAGCTAATAAATGAATTCCACAAAGTGGCAGGGTACACAATCAACACACAAAAACCAGTTGTGTTTCTGTACTCCAGCAACTAACAATCTAAAAAGGAGATCAACACAACCCCATTTATATTAGCATCTAAACAAATAAAATACCTAGGAATAAGTTTACTAGGGAAGTAAAAGATTTGTATACTGAAAACTATAAAACAATGTTGAAAGAAATCCTGTGTTCATGGATTAGAAGACTTAATATTTTTAAGATGTCAATACTACCTGTCATGGATTGAATTGTGTCCCTCAAAAATATCTGCCAAGTCGGCCAGGTCATGATTCCCAGTATTGTGTGATTGTCTACCATTTTGTCATCTGATGTGATTTTCCTGTATGTTCCATATTCTATCACTATGATATAAGATGGATTAGTGACAGTTATATCGATGAAAGATAGTAGATTAGACAGTGTCTTAAGCCAATCTCTTTTGAGATATAAGAGAAGCAAGCAGAGAGATATGGGGACCTCATACCAGCAAGAAAGCAGTGCCAGAAGCAGAGCATGTCCTTTGGACCTGAGGTTCCTGCGCTGAGATGCTCCCAGAACAAGGGAAGACTGATGACAAGGACCTTCCTCAGAACTGACAGAGAAAGCCTTCCCCTGGAGATGATGCCCTGAATTCGGACTTGTAACCTACTAGACTGTGAGATGATAAATTTCTCTTTGTTAAAACCATCCACTTGTGGTATTTCTGTTAGAGCAGCACTAGATGACCAAGACACTACCCAAAGCAATCTACAGATTCAGTGCAATCCCTATCAAGATTCCAACAGCTTTTTTTGCAGAAACGAAAAAAATATATCCTCAAATTCCTATGGAATGGCGAAACCAAAAAACCAAACCCATTGCCATCAAGTCAATTCCAACTCATAGCTAACCTATAGGACAGAGTAGAACTGCCCCACAGAGTTTCCAAGGAGCACCTGGTGGATTCTAACTGCCGTCCTTTTGGTTAGCAGCTGTAGCTCTTAACTACTACACCACCAGGATTTCCAAGGGGCCCTGAATAGCCAAAATGGTATTGAAAAAGAAGAGCAAAGTAGGAGGACTCACACTTCCTGCTTTTAAAAAATAGTATAAACAGGAGGCGGGGCCAAGATGGCAGAGTAGTCAGACGCTTCCGGTGGACCCTCTTACAGCAAAGACCTGAAAAAACAAGTGATTCTATTATATATGGCAATCTGGGAGCCCTGAACATCAAAGGCAGAGTTGAGGAACCAGGCTGAGTGGCAAGGGGAGGGAGAGATGGTTCAGAATCAGTGAAGAGTTGCCAGACCTGATCTGGTGAGAGCTGGAGCCCTTCAGGCCTGAGCAGCTCGGGGGTGAGTGGTGAGGCAGGCAAGCAGCTGTGGTCGGGAGGCATATTTTCCACAGTGGGAGAGATCCAGCGCCAGAGAGTCAACACAGCCACCCAGAACCAGTGAGAAGCAGCCCTTGATCTGGCAAAAGATAATTGTGTACGGCCTACCACGCGGATCAAAAACATCCCCCTTAGGGGAAAACCTCTCTCCCATTTACCTCCCCGCTCCGTGCTCTGCACTGGGTCCCGGACCAGCTTCAGCAATTGCCGAGTCCCCTGGGCCGGAAGTAGGATCCATCACACACCCGCAGCCATTGTCCCTGCCTTGGAGAGTGAACAAATTAACAAACAGGAAAAAATAAACTGCTGGCTCCCATAAGCCAGGAACCCAGGGTAGGCACAGCTCCTTTGCCTAGGCACAGACATAAGAGATCCATGGACTTTGAGTGCCTTTCCCCCTGCATAGACTTGTGTGGGCCCATCTCCACAGCATAGGCACTCATTACCACAGTACAACAGGGTATATACCGGAACCCTAGCTTCAGCTGTTTCAGCTGTGAAGTGGCAGGTTCTTGACATTTGACACTGCTCTGCCCATTAAGCTGGGTCTTCACCTACCCACATCAGAGGCCTGAGGACTGGTAGCTCCACCCACACCACCTAGCCACCTGTGATAGGGGCCCATGAATAAGAGGTGCCCCCCAGTCCTTACAGCCAACAGCATTAGGTGCTCATAGTCCAGCTGC